GAGAAGGGTGAAGCTCTATAACTATAATAAAATGTAGAATATTAGTCTATCAAGGAGTTTGAACAAATTGTGTGTATTCGGAGGGGGTGAGAGGAGGAATGAGGCACATCTGTCTGGTGGATTGAGGGTAAGTGACATTTCAGCTGGCCTGTGAAGAATTAGTAGAATTTTATAGGTGTGGGGCTGTGTAGGTAACATAATAAAGGTTGGAGGCTGGCCTCACTTCCTGTGTTTTTGGAGGAAAGGAAGCAGTCTAATTTGCTGGCAATATGGTACTATAGAGGCATAGAAAGATTAATTTATGTCATAAATATAAAGTATTCCTAGCCACCAAGTGTGGAAGCATAGGCTGGAATATCAGTGCTGATCTGAGCAGCTTGTTCTTAATATATTCAGTATTTGGGGAGCTATTGATGATATTAAAGTTGAATGTGACAGGATTGAAGATATACCCAGAGAAGATTAATCTTGTAGTCAGTCTAGCAATACATGCGAAGGGTCAGGAAAGACACATTAGAAGATGGTTGTAATACTATAAAGAAGACTGTTGCTTGAAACAATGGGGACATAGTGTTATCGGAGAATTATGTGGATTGCTCTTCTCCATTGCTAGTGAGAGTGGAGTTTTTGGGGTGCCATTGGAAAAAGAATTTCTGGAGGCCTCCAGGGAAAATAAGATGTGGTATGAAGCTTTATTTGTGTGGAATTATATCCCTCAAGTTGCAAAGTCTCATTTCCCTTAAACCAGTCCTGGAAAAGGTGCAGTTGGGGATCCAGCAGAGCTAAAAGCAAAGCCAGTGCCCAGAGTTTGTGTTCCATGGTGCAGCTGGGACCCATGTAGCATCAGACTAGTTAAAGTCCATTAGTCCATTGTGTGGGGGGTCCACATGGCCGTGAGCCATGTAGGCAAATGCAGGAGCGTGAGAGTACACCCCCTGCCACAAGAGTCCCAAGAGAGCAAGAAGGAGGGAACTCCTTTGTTCTGGAACTTATACTAGTATATCTCAAATCTTGTTGCACTTGCAGTGGCCACGCCTCTTCTGGCCAATGACCACTCCCAGGAGTGACTGACAGGTAGTCACCCAGACCTTATTATGGGCGTACCTGTTATATTCAATCATTGTTCCTTTCCAGTTAATTAATAACTGGGTTAAATACAAGGATGTCAACTGGACAAAAGGAAATGGGTACAGGGAGCACTGCTGTAGAAGAGTACATGGGTCTGCATAGTAATAGGGTGCTGAGGAGGTGGTGGCAATAATGCTTGAGAGAGGTGCCTGGAGTGACTGGCAGGCAGTGATGCTTTTATTAGAACAAGAAGGGCCATTTATTTATTTATTATATAAGTATTAATTATATAAGTAGCAGTTGTGATTTCAAATGTCCCACCACCCTTATATATTTACTGTTCTCATATAGCCTATTCAGACCCCCCCCTTTTTTTTAACTTGATGTAATATAAGTGCTTGAGAGCTAGCTTTAAATATAAGCTGCCATATTTTAGATGTGTTCATTTTCAGATGCTTACAAAACTTTTGGGTAAGATTAGATGTTTGAACTGGAAGTGATAGGAACCAAATGCTAACCCTGTTTTTACTTCAAATTTTAATGTTCTGTTTATCATGGATGCTTAATTACTGAGTTTTGGGCACCCCCTTAAATTTTGCTTCACTCATCTTACCCTGTCCTGGTCTGGAGTGGTTTTAAAATTCTATGAGTAACTAGGATCAAAGGAGGAAGAGCACGTGCATAGAAAGAGAGGACTGACCTAGGAACAGGGTGGGAGGTGGGGGAGGGGTTGGAAAGAGGAAAAGGCATGCAGTCCAAAGTGAGAAGGGCCAGTCAAGGAGCAGATTGAGAATGAAACCAGGAGAGGACATTCAGACAAGCTTGAATGAGGATAGGATTTTGAAGAAGCAGGGTGGTGGTCATTACTGTTAACATAAAGGTTGAGAAGGAAAGAATAAAGATTGAGAAGAGGTGGTGACTGTTTTGCTGATGAAGAATGTCATCCATTGCATTGGAGAGGGCAAGAGTTTCTGAAAAGCTTTGCCATTTTAATCTGGAGGGGTAGGGTAAACAGATTAATTAACATTTTATTTTTAATAAACATGTCTGGCAGTACTGTTGTAGAAATTTGATGTTTTTAAATTAAGAAAATTTTGAAATATGTATGCCTTCTATCATTTATAACTACAATACAGACGAAAGGGTGATCTAATTATTATTTCTTCTTTATTTGCATAGGTAATTGGAAATCTTGTAACAGTTATAAACCTGTATCAAAAATTTATATGCTATTTTTTTTTCCTTGTGACTTTTGTTTTGGACTTGAGGATAATGATTATATTCAAATACATCTGTATTACTACACAAGTATTACTATCCTAAATACTTACTCAAATAACTCCTGATATTAATCACCTTCTTTAAGAATTTTCTTTGTGTTTGGGAATATATTTGTTGTGTTTAATCTTGCTCTGGACATGGGTGTTACAAAATGCTCTCCTTTATCTTTCTAAGCTTAAAGTCTTAATGATTGTGGACTTTTTTTTTTAAATCCTCACCTTAGGACATTCTTAGACAGACAGACATCAACGTGAGAGAGAAACAACAATCAGTTGATTGCCTTCTGTGTGCCCCAACTGGGGATTGAACCTGCAACCCAGGCATGTGCCCTGACTGAGAATCCAACTGGCAACCCTTCCATGTGCACAGGACAATGCTCAACCAACTGAGCCACTCTGGCCGGGCAATTGTGGACTTTTTTATGGAGCCACATTCTTAGCCCTTTCCTGTTCTCCATGTATATGATGTGCCCCTTTACCTTTGAGAATTGTATTATTTCTTGTGTGTATGGCTCTCACCTTAAGGAGGATGACTCCCAAATGTATATCTACATCTTCATCCTCCATTTTTTGTTATGTTGCCTTCCCAGCCCCACATCTAAAAAATTCTCCTAATTCTTCAGAGACCAGCTGAAAAGTCACTTAACCCCAACGAGGCCTTTCCCAGTCCCCAAGCCAGTCTCTGACTTGCCATCTTCTTTCAGCAGAAGCTTACTTGTTGAGTGTCTCTTCTGTACCAGGCACTTTGCTAGCCCCTAGTAAACAAAGCAGTAAGATTCCTACTCATGTGGTGCTTATGTGACGACCTCTTTTGAACATCTTTCCCTTGTGTCTCTTAGTCACTCTTACAATAAACCCTTACCTAAATATTCTATAATCAGCTATGTAAAAATAAACTTATCTTTTCCTTCGAACCAATTCTCTTTGTAGACTTTCTCTACTAAAAAAAAAAAAAAAAAAAAAAAAAAAGATGTTCACATAGTCTGTCACCAGAGATTAGAGTCATGGAATTTTCTGTTTTTACCTCTGATTAAGTCATATTCTTTATCCTATCATTTCTTCCTTTGTAGTGAATCCTTTTCCATTGCTTCATCAAAATATGTATAGACTTCTGCAGTAGTCTGCTTACTGGCCTTCTCTTTACTGTTACCAGGTTAATTTTCCTGAAGAAATACATTTTCACACATTCCATATTGCTCAGAAATTGTTGGTTGCCCTTTGAGCAGACAAAATGAAATAAAAATTAGGACTATCCCTTTGCCCCTTTTCACAGATCCTTTGCACCAGCAGCATTTGTCGGTCTTTTGAGCATTCCATGTTTTTTTCTTAAGCATTTTCCCCATGTAAATGTTCTTCCCATTTTCTTCTCTCAAGTCTTATTTTACAAAGCCTTTCCCCTATCAATAGAGACTGCTTTTGTCTTTAAACTGCTATTACACGTACACTACCAAGTTGGCATTTATATATAGCACTAGAGGCCCGGTGCACAAATTAGTGCATGGGTAGGGTCTGGCTGGCCTGCCCCAATTGGGCCCAATCAGGCTGGTGGGAGGGGGAGGGGAGCTGAGGAAGGTTGGCCAGCCAGCCCCACCCCCTGTTTGAACTCCTGGTCAGTTGAACTCCCACCCGAGGGGACAATTTGCATATTAGCCTTTTATTATATAGGATATTCAGCAACTTCTGTGCTATTTTTATATATTTATTATATTCTCGCTCTCTCCCAGTTAATCTTTGAACTGTTTTAAAATCATATCTGACTGAGAGGAAAACTTGGTAAAGTCCAAAAAGGAAGGTTGGCTTCTCTGAAAATAGCCAGAAACTTATTTGTTTTTAGTTAGAGCTCTTTATATTAGTTTTACATTAAATGCATGTCACACTTTTAGTTCCTTCATCCTTTGTTGAATTTAATTTTTAAAATTGTTATTGATTGATTGATGTTTTTAGAGAGAGAGGCGGAGGGAGAGAAAGAAACACCATTTTGTTTCTCCACTTTTTTATATGCATTCATTTGTTGATTCTGGCATGTGCCCTGACTAGGTATCAAGCCTACAACTTTGGTGTATCAGAATGACGCTCTAACGAACTGAGCTACCTGGCCAGGGCTGATTTCACTAAATTTTGCTAGTTTTATCTATTTTGTACTTTTTACATAATTCATATTAGTCCCTCTACTATTAAAAAATCTAATCAAGTTGAGGTTGTGGTTCTGAATATAAATAGTAAGTCTGCAAGGAAATTCCACGAGGCTGGGAGTCTGGAAGATACGGACTCTAGACCACTGCTGCAGTTTCTAAATCCTTGGACAAGACCCTTAAGGATGTTGTGTCTCAGTTTCATAATCTGTAAATAAAGTTGTCGAGTAAATGATCTTAAGTCTTTCTGGGTCTAAATTTCTGTCATGTTTATATTGACACTACGTAGTTACCTCTGTTTTGTTTTTTACTTTAGCCTGAAGTCAGGCTCTTTATATTAACAAAGTTCTGTTGTTATCACTTCCTTTCAGATTCTAGTTTAATTAGTCATGACTACTTCATTTGGCATTTGTTCAGTTCTGGATCTAACATTGTTTTCACAGCAAACACACTATTTATTAAAGAGATAACTTACCCTCATTTGGATTTACTTGTTTTGTTTTGTTTTTTTTTTTTTTAGGTATTTTCAAAAGAAATAATTCCAGATTGATGGATGAAATTTTAAAACAACAGCAGGAACTTCTGGGCTTAGATTGTTCCAAATACTCAACAGAGTTTGCAAATAGTAATGACAAAGATGATCAAGGTAAGCCTGAATATAAAGTTAAATATCTAACAAAGGCTGATGTGTTTTGTGGTTGAAGGCAAATCCTGTCATTCATTCATTCATTCATTCATTCATTCCACCCTGTTGGTCTTTATTGTCACCATCTTTAATCATCAGATTTAGACTTTTCTTCATTTTGGTAATTTTTTTAAAAGATGATTTTATGGATTTCAGGGAGAGGGAGAGAGGGATAAAAACATCAATGATGACAGAGAATCATTGATTTGCTACCTCCTGCATGCCCTCCACTGGGGATTGGGCCTGCAACCTGGCATGTGCCTCTACCAGAATTGAACCCTGACCTCCTGGTTCATGGGTCGATGATCAAACACTGAGCCACAAATGGCCAGGCCATTTATTAATGATTTTCAGAAAAAGATAAAATTATGAATTTCATAGATATTAAAAAATAAACACATGTTAAAGATTTTATTTCACTCGTAAGCCACGAGGAGCCAGGCAGATTTTATACCAGTTCAAAGAGAATCCAAAGAATGGACACATTTCTAGAGCAGGAATATTGAAATGGTTTTTAGTGGGGTTGGTGGGAACCTCTGTAGACAAGAATTTGGCATTGCTATTCCTTACCTAGAATCCTACCAATTGTAAAATAGCTTGGATAGAATCATAAATTTGATTAAATTGGTATGTGTTGTAAACAATGCATATTCCATTAAAACACATTTTTTTTGTCTTCAGTCCCGTGTTACTGCTAACTGCTATGATTGTAGATGCTACTTTAGACTTACAGAAATTGAAATTTATTCTATAATTAAAATTCCTATTTGCTAGAGGATTTATTCACAGAGACAAGGTCACTCTGCATACTTTAAAGAGAAGGCAGTATATAAATACATACACAAATGTGATGTGTGGGTCCTTTCAGAGGAAAGTAGTTTAAGTATATTTTGATATGGAAATTGAAGGGCTTAAATGATTCTTGTTTACTGTAAGAACTGTACCTTTATTTAGGTCTGAATATAACATATCTTGAAACTGATTTTGAAATATATCTGGAAAAGTATGTTTTTATTAATGTTTTGTTTGTGTTTTCCTCCAGTTTTAAATTGCCAAGTGGCAGTGAAGGTCCTGTCCCCAGAAGATGGAAAAGCAGATATTGTACGAGCTGCTCAGGAATTTTGCCAGTTAGTAGCCCAGCAGCAAAATAAATCCACAGATTTGGATGTGCATATGTTAGACAGTTTACTTAGTAAGTCATATATATTTATTTTTAGTTTTGTTCCACAAATATACACTATGAAGAAGAATATCTAGGTTCCTTTCACATTTTAAAGCCTTGACTTTGTTGTTGTTATACATGTTGTGTTTCTGAAGTTTAAGATCCTGTGTGAAATTGGTTTTGAGAAAATGACATTCGTAGTCAACTGACTTGCATGAGGACTTACTGGTAAAGGAGAGGACCTAAGGATTTGTAGGGGGAGTGATGAGTATTCTTATAAAGGACTTCTGCCTGTTAGCCTTCCTCCCTCTGGGATATTTTTCTGTACCAACAATGAGTTTTGTAATTCTCCAGACACGAACTGTGGGTGTCCAACAATTCAGTTTCATTCCAATACTAACTACCCAGAGTTAGTGTTAGAGTCTAACAAGCTTAAGAACTTGGTCACGCAAAACTGCCCCCACTTCAGACCCCAGTGTAGTTCTCCGAGCACCTGTACTTGGGATCAATCAGCTATAAATAGGGGGTTCCCATGACTCCCTCCTAAAGTTTGGTAATTTGCTAGAATGGCTCACAGAACTCAAAAGGCACTTATGTTTACCGGTTTGTTGCAAGGGATACAACTCAGGAAAAGGCGTACAGGGCGAGGGTGTAGTGGGAGGTGGGCGTGTGGTAATGCAGCCTCTCATACAGATATCAGGTAGCCATGCCCCCTCTGTGTAAACCACTCTCATTGTGTCTACCAACCGAGAAGCTCCGAATCCTGACCTTTTGGGGGGTTATGGAATCTATTACCTGGCACCACTGCTTAAATCTTTTTAAAAATGATTTTATTAAAGAGTTTCATTTTTATGAAATCCAACTTACCAATTTTTCTTAAGTAGATCATGTTTTTGGGGTCATGTCTGAGAAACTTTTGCCTAATTCAAAGTCACAATTATTTTCTATGTTTTCTTCTAGAATTTTTATAGCTTTAAGTGTTATATTTAAGTCTGTGTTCCATTTTGAGCCCATATTTGTGAATGGTGTGAGGCATAGGATACCAGTTTTTCTTTATTAAAAAGACTAAACCTTTCCCCCTTGAACTACTGTGGCTCCTTTGTTGAAAATCAGTTTACCATAAATCTGCAAGTTTATTTCTGGGCTTTCTAGTCCATCCCATTGCTCTGTATTCTGTCCTTATAAAGCTACAGTGTGTTGATATTCAAAGCATAAGAAGCCAATTTGATGAACGGGTTTTGCCCTTGGTCATTTTATTTGCAAGCAGTGCATATTAAGTTTGTGTGTATTTCTTTCTTTTCAAGGTTCAAATGGTTTTCCTGATCCTGATGTAGTACTGAAGTTTGGGCCTGTGGAGAGCACTTTAGGCTACCTTCCCTGGCACATCAGATTGACTGAGATTATGTAAGTAATTAAAAGTGCACTGACTTTGGTTCAATTCAGCAGGAGTTTCTGGAGCCTAGTACTGTACTATGTTTAATGGGAATTCCCCAAAAATTGCAATACTGGATTCTTTCCCCAGGTATTTCACAGTGTCATTGGTAAAAGAAAGACACATAAATGCTCAGACATGAGAGGGTATGTTTGGGCAAATGTTAGTTATTGACATCAAGTATCATAGGAGATCAGGAGTGAGATATCTCTGAGGGCCAGAGTTGTTGACTATGTCGAAAGGATGTGACTTGATCTGAAGATGTAAATTGGGTGGAATTTGGAACTAGAGGAAAAGAAGTGTAGGGGACGGGCAGTGGCGGGGCGCGTGGTCGGGGAGGGGAAGGCGGGGGGGCGGAAAGCTGGGGTGCAGAGGATGCTCATTACATGTCAGAGATAGAATGAAGGCACTGGCCACACCAGAGCCGGGCGTTAGTGTTAGGTAGTAGTGTGAGATAAAATAAAATAATTTGGGAGTGGAGACATTGAGAACACTTTAAATAGCAGCAGGAGGAATGCATATCATTGTTTGGACAGGCAGATGGAAACCGTTGAGCCTGGGGATGATGCGGGAATGGTGACCCTGGAAGATTTGTTTGTAACTGGAACAGAGCAGATTGCATTTGGGGGAGGATGAGGTAAACACACCAGTGAAGAGGCCATAGCTTAATCTAGGGGAGGATGCAGTGAAGAGAATGAAATTGCTTATTTTGAACAGTTGGGTAAGCTTTTTGTATGAAGGGCCCAATAGTAAATACTTTAAGCCTGCGGGGTCCTACAGTGTCTTGCAAGATCTCCTCTGTTGCAACTACTTAACATTGGCTAGTATACCTAAACAACCACAGGCAACATGTGAACAAGTGTGCGTGACCACATTCCAATAAAACTTTATTTACAAACACAGGTAGCTGGTTCTTGGGCTGTATTTGTTGATTTAAAACAAAGGAGAGATTTAGAAGCGTTAAAATATATTTAAATTCTGGGCTTTAGGAGAAAAAATACTACAAATTGTATCTCATGAGAAGTATAATTGCAAGCCTGGCACTTCACTAATTATGATAAAAGAAATGAAATGACTCCTCTAAGTTTTTAAGCCTAAGTGACTGGGTGGATTATAGAGCTATCGAGAGAAGCGGAAAAGTGAAGGGAGCATTGACTTTAGAAGGGAAGATGTTGAATTCAAGAGTAAGATGATTTTGAGGCCATAGTCCGTTTAGGTGGAAACGTGTAGAGGGCAGAAGAAGATGTAGAGTTGGTGCTTGAATGAGAAGTCAAGGCTAAAGATGAATCTGGGGAGTGTCAGTGTCTTGGAAGTAGTAGTATGGAAGCTGTGAGAGTAGAGGACCTCTCTAATGGGTACATCGAGGAGCACAGTACCAAGGGGTCAAGTGCCTCAAGCTCAGGGGCTGGAGGGGAAAGGGTGTCAAATAAAGAGGCAGAAGAGCAGCAGCATGTTAGAGTGAGACAGGGCTGTAGATCACGTGCGGTGGCCGCCTCATTTTGTAGGCGAGTAAAGTGGAAGAGACATTGCTCAGGCTTGTAACAAAGTGGAATTAGAACTAAAATGTGCAGACTCTGGGTTTCCCTAGGGTGGTGCTTATTTCTCTTATCTCCTTTTCTCTAGAACTTTCCATGCCTTTCAGCTGGGAGTAGTTTAGAGGAAAAAGTGTGTTTTAAAACAGATCTTGGTTTAAATCTTAGCTATCTATGCAACTCATTAACATGATTTTGGAAAGCTATTTAAACTTCTCTCTATTTGTAAAATGGGCTGTTAAACCGAGTTGGCTTAAATCTGATAATGGACATAGGCTATCTAGCACATACAGGCTTTCCTCGTGGATCTCTGTACTGTGTCTGTCAAAGCTCTACGTCTGTTACAGCTCTACGCTATATTGAGGTTTGCTCTGTATTTGTCTACTGTCCACCAGACTGCAAGCACCCAGATGCAGGAAAATGTCCTACTATGGAAAAGAAGGGTGAGCCCCGACGAAGCCGACCAGGAAATAGGACCACTTCAGAGGCATGGGGGGGGGTGGCGCTAAGTGCTTCCTGAGGAGTGACGGGAGATGAGACTGTGGGAAAGGGGGTGAAATGAGGAGGGCTTAGGAAAGTGGGTAGTTTGAGGAGGACATTTGAAGCAGGCTTTAGCAAGAAGAATGTCAGTAAATTTGTCCTTTGAGGATGTCATTTCAGTAGAGTGAATAGGATAAAGAGTTGATGGTAGTCAAAGGAAGGATAAAGATTATATGTCAGGTCTAGCTCAATAAAGCTGGGGTTTGCGGAAGAAAAGGTAAAGTATAGCAAAAGAGAACCACAGGGGCAGAGAGGAGTTCATACATGGCAGGTTTGCTGAATCCTTTTCTCTGGTGCATGAATGTGGCTCTTGTACAATAGCCAGGTGTTTGGCTCTAAGAGTGTTTGGAATTTCCAAAGCTGCACAATAAAGCTGTATAAAGTAGAGATTTTTTAAAAATGTTAATTACTGAAAATTACTTAAGTGTTTAAAATACTTAAAGGGGAGCCCTGACTGGGTGGCTCAGTTGGTTGGAGCATTGTCCTGTACACCAAAGGGTTGTGGATTCGATTCTGGGTCAGGGCACTTGCCTAGGTTGTGGTTCAGTCCCTGGTCTGGTGAGTACTGGAAGCAGCCAATTGATGTTTATCTCCCTCTCATCCTCCCTCCTCCCTTTCCTCTCTGAAAATCCTCAGGTGAAGATTAAAAATAAGTAATAATAAAATACTTAAAGGAAATCCTCCAGCTATATGTTCACTCTGCCTGTAAAATCCTTGTCTTCACACTGCCATTGTCCCCTTGAGCAATTGGAAATGGTGGAAGTAGATGTCGTTTATTTATGGTTACTCACCACATGGCTTCAGTCTGGCACTGTGCAGGGATGCTGTGCTGCTCTGCCAATGCCAAGCCTGGCTTTCCTAAACCATTAAAGTAGTACTGGCTTTACTCAGAGAGGAGCTTTTGAAGTCAATGAGTGAAATCCTATATAAATAGATCCCCAGCTTTGCATTAATCCTACTTAGAGGTTCTGAATCGCTATCTCACTACAAATTACTTTTCTCTTATTGTGGAAGGAGAGGTTGTTTTTCACTTGAACTGTTTCACAGTTAACAATCATTTAGTAGAAATGGTTTGTATTCTCTATATTTACAGTTTGCTTTCTTCTGTCCTTAACCTCTCTTTGGTCATTACCCTTCTGGTTCCCCCCTCCAAATTACAGTATGTCATCTAATTGCCTCTTTTCCCCTGTGCTTCCTTTTCAGCTCCTTGCCTTCCCACCTAAACATCAGCTATGAGGACTTTTTCTCTGCCCTTCGTCAGTATGCAGCGTGTGAACAGCGTCTGGGAAAGTAGTGATCCCTGGCTGCATGATTTGGTTTCAGGCTTTTGGAGAAAAGGACCTAAGTGATTCTGATGTTTACAAAGCAACTATGAAACCCTGTACACACCTAGTTTATAACCCTCATAATTTATCAACAAACACAAAAAAGTGTCTTACTTGAGAGTAAGTGTGTGTGGGTATGGGTGTGTGTGTGTGTGCGTGCATGCGTGTGTGTGTGTGTGTGTGTGTGTGTGTGTGTGTGTGTGTGTATGGAAATAAATTTATAAATGGAAAGTGTTAGAGAAGGAAACACATGGACTTGCACCTCTGAGCAAGCAGCAGTAATGTTATAGGAGCTGAAATTTCAGTTTTAAAGCCTTCAGCCCCAACTACTTCCCTGTTTTTGTAGGGATAGGAGTGGATGTTTAGAGCTGTTAGATTATTATTTTGGAGGGAGGGGGGATTTTTTTTTTTTCCAGTCTTTCCTGATGACCAAACCTTAATTTTTAAGAATAATATATTGACTTATTAAATGGAAGCATCGTGAGTTTGAGGCATTTCCAGAGGAATGGAGATCTTTATTGCTCACGTGTTAAAAACTTGCTCACCATTGAAGCCCAAGGAATACCTGTTTTCAGATACCCATCCTTTTTCATCTCATCGTTATTGTCAATGTGATTGGAGAGTGTTGATCCGCTGTCTTTGTTCTGGGATATGAAGATCACTTGAACTCTTACAACATTGAATTGAAGAATTTAAAGAACTTAAAAAATTTAAGTATTAGGCAATCCAGAAAAGGTGAAGAAGTTGGAACCTGAAAAACAAAGGTGGAAAGTTTCCTACTGGATTTTTGTTGTTTGATGGATAGTGTGCTACGTAGTATCCAAAGTTATGTTAACAAATATTTCCACTAACTGTTTGTTTAAAATAAGCATTTGAGGGAAATTATAAGACAGCTCTTTTCCTCAAAAGTAACCTGTTCCTCTTTGGAATCACACATTTAGGACCATGTTAGTACCCAGGGTTTTTGCTCAGTAAATCCTGATGGTGACTTTCTGTAAAAGACCTTTAAGTGAGATTGAGGGCTGTGTAGGTAATAAAACATTACCAAAGGCTACAAAAGTAAATTAATTCTACATGTTCTCTTTCATGTCAGAGAACAGCACTGGTTCTGTTATCTTTTTTAAATAAATAAATGATTTTTGATAGGTATTTAATATTTCTTTCCTCACTGCTGATCCTTGAACAGAAACCATTCTTTATATTTGATGGACAGTTTTCAGAAAAATCTTAACAACTGTATAATAATTATCTAAAATTGTACGTTTAGAATGGAGAAATTTAAATATAGGTCTCAGAAGTCTGAAAAATAGCAGAGAAGACTGGATTTGGAAAGCAAGATCTGGAATTGCTTGTCAAATTCTGAAGTTATGAAGAATAAATGTTTAAACTTTGGATTACAAAACCCCATTTATGATTAAAAAATATACTTGAAATAAAATTATTAAACTAAATTTTGGTTTAGTGATATTGCTTTGCACTTCATTGTTCTTTTAACATTGTAAGACTTTTTTTTTTAAAGTCAGTTTATTGCTGAAAGTTTTATGTGAAGCTACAGCATATCTTTGAACTTGACCAGAGAATTTTTTATTTCTGTTCCCCTGTACAGTGATTCGTGTTCTAGTGAGGATTTTTTTTGCCTTAGTTTAAGACTGAATTTATGGCTTTTATAAACATGTGTCTGGAATATGTATAGCTTTAATGAATTAAATGTAATGGGCCCAATTGAAGTGAAAAGATATAATATTTGTTAAAACGACGTTAGTCAAATAAATTACCCACTGGGATATAGCCAAAGTTGCTAAAGGTTTAATAGTTGTCTTTTACTTTATTTTCTTCCATTTTGTAGCAGTATAGTGCTACACACCAGAGTGAATCTATAACCTGTGACTTAAGTTTATTATAGTCCTAGGAAGAGACCCTGAAAACAAGTTGCTAAGGATTCTGAATTCAGATATAGGCATTGTGACTTAAGTTTATTATAGTCCTAGGAAGAGACCCTGAAAACAAGTTGCTAAGGATTCTGAATTCAGATATAGGCATTCCATATCTTTCTCCTCATGGGTTCAACTACTAGTACAATCTCCACAACTTGAATGGCATTGGTCATTCTGTAATTCCTGCCAAAATTACCACTAGTTAACACATTATCAGGGCTCCCTTGCACTCCCAAGAAGAACTGATAATTTTAAAGGAAAGTGTTGTTTGTCTTTATGTCTTTTGAAGGATATTGTTTAAATATCTTTCAAATACTTTATTGACACTCCCCATAATGGAAAAATTTATCAAATTAAACCCACATTCTAGATGGCAGCTTGGAGCATAGCAAGAAGTCAGGGGTTGAAAACCAGTCCCAATCTGGTTTGATTTTGTTTTTTAAAAATGATTATTGTTACAAAGTTTGAAAGCTGGTTTTGATGCGAATAGCAAATTGTGTATATTGTGACTAAGGCATAATAGCCTGTCTTAAGAGAGGGAGGTGTTGTTAATAAACAGTGCCAAATACACTGTGCGTATCTACAAATTAATCTTTGAATGTATGTTACTTGATAGCTCCCTCCTCCTCCTGTGTGATGGTTCCATGCCTAGTAAGATCCTTGTGATGTTTTGTATGGCTGTAGACTTTGGTGACATGTAAATAATGTGCAAAGCAAGTTTTTATGATTAAGGAATCAAATTTATTGAATTTTATGATTGAAAGTTGAAACAACATGTATGAACAAAACAATAAAAGAATATACTCTTTTCATGGACTATATTGTTATGTGAATGCTGCATTTATTCTGAACATGTAGGACTTGCAGAAATGGAATGAGAAACTCCTATGACTATATAGCAATACTATTTTTTAGATGATATGTTCTTGATTGAAACATATTCTCATTTTTACCAGGTTAAATATTGGGAATCTTATAATGTTATTTGCTTTTTGCTATATAGCAGTGATATAAAATTCATCTTTCCCATTGCTAGAATTGTCAAAATTCTACAATAATTAAAATAAGAGTTGATTTTTACTGAATATGGAATGCCGAATTTAAAATGTATATGTGTACTCTTTTTAAAAAAATTGACAGTTTTTGTCAAACCAGGAAATTAAAGGGTAAGAGCTATCATCTGTTGTACGTTGCATAGAGTATTCACTCTCTAACTTGAGGATCTAATTATAAGATAGTTGGTTTTTATGCATAATTTTCATCTGAAATAAAATTTTCAAAGGTCACATTTTAACTTTGGTTAATAGGAAATGCCTTTAACAAAAATTAGTGTAGAAAAGGTTCCGGATGGTTTGAAATAATCCCAGGAAACAAATTAGTGCCAGCAATTGTCCAGGAATCCTAGTTGATAGGCCATGACCTGTGATAAAATTGGTGGAAAGGGGGAGTGCAAAAAGAATCTGCTTAAGGTTTAAAAAAACACACACACATTTATTGTAGGAAAAATTAATTTGGAGACATAAAGGAAAATAACTTATAATACTATCACTCAACGATTACATTTTTGGTGACAATCCTATAATTTTTTTGTACTTATATTTTTAAAAATGGATCCTACTGTAATGGGTTTAATAAAGAGATTCTTTTTAAACTATAAAAAGAGTCTTTTATTCTGTCTTGTATTTTGTCACTGTGTTTGGATATAAACAGATTACATTAGCACATGATAAAATGTTTGGAAAAATTCAGTTATCCTTAATGAATTTTAACCTTAGTTCATATTTTAAAGGTAATTTTATACTTATTTCTCTATCTTCTAGAGATTCAAGAACTATAAATTAATTTTGGCATCTGGATTCATATCCAGATGATGGCAAAATAAAAATTAGATGTACTCTCAGATCAGGCTATCTGCTGTTGATCATATTTATACTCCCCTTCATTAGAACTAGTAATTTAAGTTGCTTTTATGCGGATAAGAAAAGATCCGTTTGTCTTGGAGAAGGAAAGCTTCAGCAAAATGAAAAAAATCAAAATGTAGGCAAGTTGTATTTGTATGTATCCAATATTTCCATTCTGATGAAGATTGCAACTGCTGTATCTTTTATGGGTTTGGTTCTATGAACCTTTTATTTTGATAAATGTATATTTTACAATGTTATTCCTCAATAACAGCTTGTACATAACAACTGCCCAGAATTCCTTATTTTTATGAACTTTAATAGAGAAGTAGATGGGTAATGGTAATAGTAACTGACACCTTTCTCCAGAGAGGAACCTGTATTTTTTAAAAATATATTTTATTGATTTTTTACAGAGAGGAAGGGAGAGGACTAGAGAAAAACATCGATGAGCGAGAAACATCGATCAGCTGCCTCCTGCACACTCCCTACTGGGTATGTGCCCGCAACCAAGGTACATGCCATTGACTGGAATCAAACCTGGGACCCTTGAGTCCGCAGGCTGACGCTCTATCCACTGAGCCAAACTGGTTAGGGCAGAGGAACCTGTATTTTAACTAGATTTTAGATAATTAGAAAAATGGGACCTAAAAATGTGGAAGTTTCTTAACTGGAGATGTTTGACAAAGCATTTGTCTGTGCAGTGCTTCTCAACTGGAGTGATTGTGCCCCCCAGTGGACATTAGACAGTGGAGACATTTATATTTCACCACTGGGTGGTGTGGGGAGAGGGGGACAGGACTACTACTGGTATCTAGTGAGAAAGGCCAGGACAGTTTTCAAAGAATTACCAGGCCTCAAATGTCAGTAGTGCTGAGGCTGACAATCCTTTCTTTATTTGGGGAGGAGTGGTGATGGATGTTGCCTGAGGGGAATTGTAAAAATGCAAGTTTGTTTAGATTTGAATCTATAGATCATAGTTTAGAGGTGAAATAAACATGCATACTTTAATTATTTGAAATAATATATTCACTTTTTTCTACTCATGAGTTCTAGTCATTTTCACATTTATCTCTGACATTTTTTAAAAATATGTTTTTATTTAAGAACAATATAAAATCAATTACCTGCAGGATAAAATAAATTACTAACTTGATGTCTATAGATTGGATAATTTGAAGCATGTGATTTCTTATAACATGTGTAAAACATTACTGTCTCTTAAAAAAACTTGACTTTGTTTCAAATAAACAATAAGCTGACAAGCTTTGAAAAACTGATAGGCGTCAAAATGTCAAAGATAGCTTGGCTGGGTGGCTCAATGGTTGAGCATCAATTCATGCACCAAGAGGTCACAGGTTCAATTTCAGGTCAGAGCGAATGCCCAGGCTGCAGGCTCTATTTCCAGTAGAGGGGTGCAGGAGGCAGCTGATTGATGTTTCTCTTATCAATATTTCTCTCTCTTTCCCTTCCTCTTTTTATAAATCAACTGGAGGCCTGGTGCCAGGGTTCCTGCACTTGGGTGGTGGCGGGGGACGGGGGTGGTGGGGTGGGGGGGGGAGGTCCCTCAGCCTGGCCTGTGCCCTCCGCAATCCAGGATCCCTCAGGGGATGCAGCAGTGCACCAAGTGGCAGGCAGCCAGGGAGGAGCCTGAGCCGCTCGAACTCATCCCGGCCCACTGTGCCTGCTTCTGGCCATGAGCTCAGCTTCTGGCTGAGCAGCGTTCCCCCCTGTGGGAGTGCACTGACCACCAGGGGTCAGCTCCTGCATTGAGCGTCTGTCCCCTGGTGGTCAGTGTACGTCATAGCAACTAGCCGACCAGTTCTGGTTGTTCGGTCTTAAAGGTCACTTAGGTTTTTATATATATAGATATAAATGAAAACATGTCCTACGCTTGTTTTTGAGGTTATATCTCCAAGAATAAAGGCTATCATTGGTAAATATCTTTGCCTCTTGTTTTTAAATAATTCATCCAATGACCTTTTTTAGTTCTCTGAAACTAACAGTGATTGAAGTTTAATGTGATTTTCCCAAATCTTACCTTTTCTTGGCCTACAGAAAGATGATGTATGAGGGAAAATTATAGAGAAGTAAACCTGCTTATGGTGTGCATGAGATATGTATGTGGATGTAAAAATAGTTCTGATAAGCCTGTAATTGACTTTGGAGTGTGGGGTGCAACACCAAATATAAACTATTCAGGAGATTAACAGAAGGCATAAGAAATATCAAGGCAAATGATTTCATTAAATATTAATTTGAGTTACTTGGAAGCTGAAGCTCATCTATACATAAGTATGCAGAATATCAAGTTGCTTGCAAAACCAGACTATATCAGATACACTCTGAGATCCTCAGCTTATCAGATGGAATATAAGACCAGCCACGATGCTCATAGCATATCAATTGATGATGCTTTTAATTTATTTAAAAGAAAGAAAATCATAGCTTCCCCACTGCCTGCACTTGTGGTCCTCAAAAAAGAGAAGTTAATAATACGGCATGTGTACATATTCTATTTGGGGAGGTAGAAGTAGGAATTATGATTGCTGTGTCAAACAGTAATATTGGCAAATTTTCCTCCATCGGACCTGTGCCATATTCCCACTTGCAGTAAACCAGAGTACTTACCTCCTTAGGATCTGTCGACTTTCAGATATTTGCCAATTTGATGGGTGAGAAGTACTCTTGTTTTAATTTGTGTTTCCAAAGATGGCTATAACAATAGTTCCCATCCCACATGCTTTGTTTTGCAGTGTTACCTGGCCAGTTTTCCATAACACAGAGGTAGAGCCTATTCCACCTTTCCTTGAATCTGGGCTGGCCCTGTGACCGATTAGTAGTATGTGTTAGAAGTGACATCATGCAGCTTGCAAGGCTGTTATCTTAAAATATATTTCTTCCTCTTTCTTGTTCTTAGAGTCCTGAGCCATCACAAAATGAAACCACAAGTAGGGTACAAGCACTCGAGGGAGGGAGGGAGTGGGAGAGAGGGAGGGAGGGGGAGTGAGAGAGAGGTTACAAGTAAGGTTGAAGGTCTTTCCAATAGTTATAAGCCATTTCCTTTTTGCCTTGTGAATGTACATGTCTGCCCATTTTTCTTCTGTTTTCTGGTATCTGTTCTTTTTCATGGGCTCTTTATAAATGTTATTTGTCCTTTGTGAAATAAGTTGCAAACATTTCATCTCTGTTTGTCCATCACCTTTAATCTTGTTTTTAGTTTTAGTTTTTACATACTGTTTTAATTTTTGTGGCTAAATTTATCAATATTTATTGGTTCTAGATTCATAGAAAATCTTTCCCCACTTAACAGATTATAGAGGAAGTTACTTATGTTATCTTTCATTGTATCTAGTTTCTCACTCTCTTCCTCCCCTCCTCCTTTCCTCCCTTCCTCTTTTCCAAACCCTCCCCTCCCCTCCCCTTATTAGATATGGATCTTATTTTGTCTTTTTCTAAATGGCTAACCAATTGTTCCATTTTTTTAAAGGTCCATCATTTGCCCAGTGATTTGAGATTGCCATCTTTATCATATACTGCATTTTGATTTGTAACTTGGAAAAATTCATGTTTCTGCTAGGGGACACATCCTGGAAACTCCTATCTCATCACTGTGCTGATGTCAGTACAAACTATTTGAGAACTAGACAAAATAAGGGCTTTTATTTTTTTATTATTATTATTTTTTTTAATGTAGTGATCTTGTTGCTATCCATGGCTTGTTGTTAAGTCCCATTTCTCAAATCTGCAGCATTAGCAGATTTCAACGAAGTGGTTAGAAGTGGTTAATACGCATACTTGCCTAGGATGTAGGCATATTCACTTCCTAATGACCTTTATTACATTGAAAATAGCAAGTGTTGAATATGCTAGTCTTTGTGCAGTGAATATTAATGTTTTATTTTCCCCAGTGATATT